ATGGCCTCCAACCTATATAAAGGCGATGTCCTCCAACCCAAAAGCGATGGCCTCCAACCCAAAAGCGATGGCCTCCAACCTAAAAGCGACGGCCTCCAAGCTAATAGCAATGGTCTCCAACCTAGTAGCGATGGCCTCCAACCCAAAAGCAATGTCCTCCAACCTAAAAGCGATGACCTCCAACCCACTAGGGATGGCCTCCAACCTATATAAAGGCGATGTCCTCCAACCTACCAGCGATGATGGCCTCCAACCTACTAGCTTTCCAAGAAGCTTCCTCCACTTTAAGATGTTTCTAACTGTGTTTGTTTTCAGTTAAAGGATGCGGATGTAAGTAGATCTGCCGATGAAGGAGTGAAGGAGGAAGCCACTTTCCAGGAATCTCTACTTTTGCCCAATGTTTTTGCTGAGGACTTCGGCCCAAGGATCAGCCGTTTGATGTGCACGTTGATCCACTGCTGGGCAAGGACCCATGTCCTTTGTCGGATTCAGCGCGACGTCCAGTCTGTTGAGGCTCAAGAAGCCAAGAAGCCTTGCACAGCCTTTGCACAGCCTTTGCACAGCCTTTGCACAGCTGCACGACTGGTTTCGCAGTGGACCAACACACCCAAGACCTCTCTATTTTCCTGCAGTACGAGGTCAGAATCAAGGGGCCTTCTTGAACCTGTTCCCTCGTTGGTTCCCAATAGCATCATTCCTGATTCTGCCAGAGACTTTGGTGGACGCTTTGTTGCAAATGCACAGGGCCAACTCATAGAAATAGTTTCCAATGTTATGGCCACCCAGAAGATGTATCCAACACAGACAACTGTGGTGTAGGGTGGGTTGGTCGAGCTTGCGGGAATGCTCCCAGACTGAAACAGTGAGCACCATGGGCATAGCTAGTAAGCAAGGTGACGCAGCGTTAGCAATAGTGTCGGTAGATTGTGTAACACAGTTTGCGAATGGCGGTGCGCCATCCCCTTTTGCAGCAGGAAGAACATGTTGTCATCTTTTTCCCCTATTCTATGGAAGTTGCAGGGAACTGAAACGGGAACAGGTTTTCTCCAAATCACCTGCACCAGAGGCTCGGGGTTGCAAGCATGCCTACTCGGTTGCATCGGAATCCGAAAGAACACTGTTGGAATCCCATTCGGAACAGCTCTGAGGCTTGCCGTCAGTGAGACTGACCGAGTATGTTGATTGGTGTCTTCTTGTTGCGAAAGCCGTACATCCGAATGTGGATGTGACAACAACGCGCAATGTGGAGCAGTTTCTGCTGATGGACTTGCCAAGATGCCTAAGGAGTCAACTCGGCCCTTGCATTTGTAGACAAAACAAATCTCGAAGCGGTCCATCTTCTTCAGGATCATTGGTCGTTGAGAGAGTCATTGGCGATTCCCTATTTCACACTCTTTTGACCTGTTCAAAAACACCTCTAGTGGGGGAACAACAAACATTTGCCAACTCCGAAGTCGAGCAAAAGCGAAGCCCTCGAGCCAAAGCCTCCAACATGACCGAAGCCCTCGTCCTCGCCGCCTCAGCGCATTTGACGCGCCATGAAGACGTTTGAGGTGCCGCGAAGCCGTCGCGGCGCCGTCGCGGAGGGCGCTGTGATTGGAAGAACGCATGTAAAAGGGGGTAAGTGCGGGGTCGTGCCCGTCACGGCGATCCGGTCGGATGAGAGGTCCGGGCGCTTCCGGCACTTTGTTATGTCTTTTCCGAAGCGTCCAGAGTTGGATAGCTTCTTGTTACTACTAGTAAGGCACTTGTTACTACTAGTAAGGCACTTGTTACTACTAGTAAGGCACTTGTTACTAGAAGCGATGCACTTGTTACTATTAGTAAGGCACTTGTTACTACTAGTAAGGCACTTGTTACTACTAGTAAGGCACTTGTTACTACTAGTAAGGCACTTGTTACTAGAAGCGATGCACTTGTTACTACTAGTAAGGCACTTGTTACTAGAAGCGATGCACTTGTTCCTACTAGTAAGGCACTTGTTACTAGAAGCGATGCACTTGTTCCTACTAGTAAGGCACCTGTTACTACAAGCGATGCACTTGTTACTACTAGTAAGGCACTTGTTA